ATCGTCGGTCGTGCTCAGACTATTTGGCTCTCAGTGCTGTGCAAGAACCTAGGATGGAAAAGATCAACGATTTAAGTGGCATGTTCAAGGCAAGTTGTCTTATTGATATCCCGCACTTGTATTCACCTAGTCGCCCACCCAGTTTGCTCTAGCGTCGTTTTGATTCGACCGCTCGTGCCGAGCTGCAAGAAATGGGGCGGACTCCCGATCCGAACAGGAAATATATCCCCAAGCGTATCGTCATCTATCGTGACGGCGTGTCTGAAGGTGAATTCAAGACGATATACCAAGAAGAAGTAGGGGCAATAATGAGTTCGTGAAACCTTCGTATAATAGTGACTTGGCACTGATGATTCTTGCAGAGACCTTTGAAGAATTGAGAGAACCGCCTTCGAAGATCACGTTCGTTGTTGTGGGGAAGCGCCACCATATACGGTTCTTCCCCTCCGAAGGCCAGCCTGCCGATCGTAATGGCAACTGCATGGCTGGAACAGTCGTCGATACGAACATTGTTCATCCCGTGTATGACGACTTTTACCTCCAAAGTCAGAAAGGATTGATCGGAACGTCTCGCTCCGGTCACTATACCCTCCTGCATGATGATAATGGAATCAGCGCAGACGTGTATGTACTAGGGAACAGATGTTCTCTATTTCCTCCATTGCTAACGTATAATTTCGTAGTCTCCAAAGGTTGTCCTTCGATCTGTGTCATACGTTCGCCCGCTCCACTTCGTCGGTTTCTATTCCCGCTCCGGTTTATTGTGCGTTTGTTTTTCTTCGCGCCTTTGCGTTCTGCTGTGGATTCTGAATACTCGTTACTTTCGCAGATGCCGATGTATGTTCCATGGGCTTCCTTGAAACCAGGCATCTCATTTATCCGTTCATATAGTTGGTTTGCGCTCGTGGGCGCTATCATTTCGACTCGGAGATTTACGGATCGGATTCCGGGGGATCCGGTGACGGCCTGAGCCTCTCCGAATTTAAGCGTCGATACAGTAACATACATGCTGCTCTTACAAAGGTATAAGTTGGTCTCTCGTGATACTCAAACCCATTCGCTTATCTTTTCGTTATCTCTAGCGTATGTATTTCTTGTAAGTGTCCAAAGGGTTTTGTAATTTGTAAACTTTCTGTCCTGTTTTCCATTTTCTGCTTGAAATGTGCTTGTACCGTTGTGTAACATCTCTTGGATGTTACAAATACCTCTACTTCGTGCCAAATGCAATGTGATCGAATTTGATAAAACAAGAGGCACAGATTTCCGGTGATCCGGAGGTTCAATAAGATCAGACCCACAATGGACTCGGATATTACCGAGAACAACAGTTTTCCTTTCTTGTTAAATTGTGTAGATTCGCTGGCGCGTTAGCTCACGCTGGGGCAGTACCCTCGATGACGAGATTCGCATTCGTGACTCTCGTCACTTCCGACTTGTATGCAAAGGGCGCTCTTGTTATCGCTGCTGCGTTGCGAGAGCTCCATCCCACACCGACAGCTCCGGAAGTGCCCTTTGACACCGCATGCATAGTCACACCCGAAACTGTTGATGTTAGTACCGTCAAGGCCTTAAGGAAGGCCTTCGATGCTGTAGTCGGAGTTGAAGTCATTGACGAAGATCAGGCCTCGAGGCTAATGTTGTTAGGTACGCGATACATTTCCTTATCTTCACGATACCCCTAACAAATCAAACGTCAGGACGACCGGATCTAAAACTTGTATTGACAAAGCTGCACGTATTTCGCCTCACGCAGTATGAAAAAATCATATTTCTTGATGCCGATGTTCTTCCTGTTCGAACACTGTCCCATCTATTTACTTTACCGCACGAATTCAGTGCGGTACCCGATGTTGGTTGGCCCGATATCTTCAACTCTGGTGTTATGGTCCTGTCGCCGGGGGAAGACAAATTCAACGCTCTCATGGCGCTTGTCAAGAGTAAAGCTAGTTGGGACGGTGGGGACCAAGGTCTATTGAATGAATGGCGAGGAGAAGATTGGAATCGTCTAAGCTTCATATACAACACTACCCCAACCGCTGCATACATGTGAGTCTACAAGTCATCGATGTTTCGCTAGCCTCTAACCCGCCTCTATCCAAGTTATGCACCTGCTTATGAACGCTTCGGCTCCAAGATCTCTGCGATTCATTTTATTGGACCGAACAAACCCTGGGCCTCGGAAGCTTGGCGACCACCTTTTGCCCGATCATCGTCCACTCAAACTTGGGCCCCAGGCACTCAACAATCATACGCCTACGAGTCTCTGGTCGATCGGTGGTTTGATGTCTACGATCGTCATTTCCGCGCTTCTCCAGTGATCGACCAGCCTCCGTTCACGGTTGGAAAATATGAAGCCGCATGGGATGCTGGATCTACAGGTGAGGCCTCAAGCGGCAGGCTCGATTTAGACGAATTGAAACGCCTGGCGCTTGAGGGATCCAGTGTAATCCCCGGTGGCCCCTCAGGAGAGGCTGAGTACAGAAGTCTGCCTTTGGAGGGGCGGCTGGCCCTGATGCGGTCACAATCGCCTCCACCGCCACCTCCACCTCCAGCGTTGCCCACCTCGATTGATATTCCTGTTTCGGCTGTTGACCACTCTGCACCCCTTGTCGATGAGTCTGCTGTTTCTACACCTCGCCCTGGTTCCCCTAGTTATGAGTCGGTTGCGCCAATCCATCGGCCGGATACGGATTTCGAACAGACTTCTGCTCCCCCCCTCGAGCCACTCCCATTCGTCGATCAGACTTCTACTCCTTCCCTCGAGGCACCCCCATTCGTCGACCAGACTGTTGCGTCTCCGTCGCTTCCAACCACAATCGCCATGCCACTAGGTGTTCCAAGTGCTCAAGCAGAGTCACAAGCTGCCCCTTCCGGGCCTGTTTCTGCCGCCCGTAGTTCTCTTGACGGGTCTTATGAGTCCTCTCCCCCGCCGCCCCCTTCTCCACCTTTGATCGCCTGGAATCCGGCCGTCGAACCTCCACCCTCAGCTCCTCCATTGCATGCTCCCCAGGAACCCATCCCTAGCCACTTTACCAATGTCTGGGACTTGCCCCCCGCTCACCGTCAAGATTCTCACCATCGTTCTGATACGCACGATCATTCCTTTCAACACATTTCGGACACTCCATCTCAAGCGCCTGTGCACGCAGAGGATTTCTTCCCAGTTCCATCCCCACCTACCATCCCTGCGCGCTTGGTACATCAAGGCACCTATGCAGATGTCGCACACACCCGACCAGATTACTCTAAAGTCAAGAGTGTCTTCCCATGGGAAGAACAGCCTCGAAGAGCTCCTGAGCGAGTTTTCCCAATAACGGATCCTCCTCCACCTGGGATGCCGTTCTTGGATCTGTCGAAACCTCTACTTCCCCTACAACAACCTACCCCTGAAAACCCTTCTCTGCCACCCGACGATGCAAGCCATCCTCAAGTCTCGCCTTCACCACCAATGCATCATGGCCCGGCTGGTTCACTCGTATACGCCAATGTGTGGGATAATATTCCCAGCATCCAGAACTATGTGTCTAAACTGGTAAAGCCTGTGCCTAGTTTGACAGTTTGGTAACTTCTCCTTCGATGCAGAGAGCCCCCAAAGATACGGAAAAACAGGAACATGAGGATGGACATGAAGGCGATGACGAGGATGAAGGAGGTGAATCCGAAGAGGACGAGTTTCCAGAACCATTGTCTTCTCGCGGTACTCAACCCAGTCGAGCCGTCGGGTCACACCCACGCAGCCCGTCCTCAAAGATGAGCAGTAGTGATCGTCTTAGCTCTCGAAGAGGCGGAAGGGATTCCCAAGCAGGAGCGAGAACGATCTTGCAATATAAATCACAAGGTGTGCAAACTGTCCCCAAATCCAGGCGTAGTCAAGGAGTGCAGGTGGACCAGGAATCAATTGCTGACGTTGCCAAAGCGGCGTCGCCCGCTACCCAGTCCTCGGCTGCTGGCAATGAACAGGGTACTTCACCCCAAACATTATCGTCGTCGCTCCTTCCCCCTTCCGTGAGTGGAGATCGTTCCACGCCATCTGGTGCGCCTCCCCCCGCCGTGGAGGACTCCCGAGATCCAGGCCCTACGGAGCGACATGTCACGTTCGGCGCCTCCGCAGAATCAGGTCATGTAGTCCAGAATCTTGGGTCTCCCGTCCAGGTCATGCCTCACAACGCCAAGGATACGGCACACCCGACACCTACAACCGTGCCACCAACTTCGACGTTGCGCGAGCGACGTGCGTCGTCCTCTACGGACCCTCACGCACGTATCAGCTGGCTCAGCTCCAGCTCAACTGCCGTTGCGTCAGATCTGATGTCACCCCGTGAAATGTCACCCAATTATGGTTCCGTGGCGTTACCTCGCATCCCTGCTGGAAGGAGGTGGGACCCCGCCCGCGGTGTTGACGTGTTCAAGCGTGATAATGAGGAAGTCCTTGCGCGCTTCTTGAAAATGGATCACTGGGGTGGTGAGGATATAAGCCGAGGGGGAGATGGTGGATCGCGCTAACGGTGCAGGCACCTTCTGAGTGTTTATACCATATGACGGATAGATGGTATGTCCTCATGGGTATGCAAGTCTTGGTTTGTTCTGTTGTTTTTTTCTTCTCCGGTGTGTCAATGCGCAATGTACGCAGTTGCGGTTGGGGTGTTTCACGTCTGTCTGTCTGTCCTTCGCTTTGTCTTTCCTGTTTCCTGTTTGTTTCACTGGATTTGTGTCTATGCATTTACTTTCCACATTCCCCACATTCCACACTCGATTCCCTTTGCAGTATCGTCTCGTCTGTTCCTCCATATTGCACATATATATAGGTCCTGTCATACCCCCCAAGTTCATGTACATGCTTATTCAAGGTTAGACGAATTGCTTGTGTGTCTGTCCCTGGGGGTTGTCAAAGCCTCGTCCAGGCCGGCTTGACGAGGGCCCGTCTTGTGCCGTACCACGGCACGCAGGAAGGGGTAGGAAAAGACTCACAATAAAACCGAAAAAAGGGATAGAAAAGATGGTACAGCTGGCGAGATTCGAACTCGCGTCAACTCGTATAACCCTCTGGGAACGAGCTATACTAAACCACTATACTACAGCTGTATACAGACAGAGATGCCTCTGGACTATTATACTCGGATAGATTAAGATCGTTGGCAAAGAGCGTCGACACCGTTTTGAAAATTCTGGAAACGAGGCAGTGACTCCCTCACTAACGTCATGACTCATGAAAATAGAAGTGACCCGGGTGTTTCCGCCCACGTGATTTCGATTACGATTTCGATTCATGATTTTTGTCGTCTGTTGGTCTTGGTGGTAGACTTTCTGGGCGGTGCGGCTGGCGAGAATGACACACCTACCATGAGGATAGTCTCCCATTTCGCTTGCCTTGCATCCCTTAGAAATTGGTCTGCTGAAGCAGTCTCCCTTTTGCATTCTTCGCGCCGTGGCCTGCGGTGCTTCACGCCATGAACTACTGGCACCTGCCTCATTGCTTCCCTCGAGGGAATTAGGGGGAAAATTCTGTGCCATCTAATACCCTTCATTTCCTGATTTCTCTTCAGAATTAAGCGCAAATACAGGTAGAGGGAGCGGACTAGTGGTATGGGCTACTTCCAATTTTGAGGTGGAGCCATTCAGTCACCCCCTCTTGGTTCCGGTCTCACTGTATAAGAACCTCGATTTCCGTGGATTCTCTTTTCCCTAGAGCCCCTCCTTCGAGTCTCCTACCACTCTTTCTGCCGCGGTCGTCCTCCCCCTTCCCCAACCAACCAACTTCAACTCACACACACCCCTCTTCTCGCCACAATGCGCTTCACACTCTCCCCTATTGTCGCTTTTCTCTCTGCCATCGTGTTAGTCGCGTCATCTCCTCTTTCCGACATCCCCATCAACGCCCCGGCCAATGCGAACGTACACGACGTCACAACCACCGTCCCCACACAGCTGACCCGAAGATGCAACAGTGACACGCGGTTTTACTCTCCGTTCTCGCTCCTACGCATTCTGACGCGTCTTTATTATATAGCTTGCGGGTCTGATGACCTCCTTGGTGGACTCCTGGGCGATGTAGATGTTGGCACTGATGTAGACGCGACCGTGAACCTAGACCAAATTCTTGATCTTGACGCTGTTGTCCGTGTGGTCCTCGATTCCAATACAGATACACCCTCCTGCCGCACACCAGGTCTGCGTCGCGTGAATCTTCGTTTTGGGGGGGATACTTGCTGATTTAGACTATTCCCCACACCCAGGTTGCAATGAGGATGACATCGTGATTTTTCTGAAGGATTTAAATATCAAAATTAATGCCACCCTTGCCCTCCTTGGTAAGACTATTGGAGTCTCACCTTTTGGCTCAAATAAATTCATTGTCAGTGTCACCCTTCCCGTCTCATAGGCGACGAGAAAGATAGTCAAAAAGACTTGCTTGATCTCGTAGCGGTCGTTGATGTGGCACTTCAGCTCCTCACCAAAGTTGACATCGACACATCGAAAGAGCATGGAAACCAGTGCAATGATCTCGTTAACCTCGTAGCCTCCCTTCTCTCGGCGCGTTGTCTTCTGGGGCTTTCTGTGTATTCCTCTCTGATGTGCTTCTTTGAACAGCGTATCGCCGCCTCTCTCTCCACGTGCGGAACTCTCGACCTCGATGTCACAAGCAAGATCGACGTCGTCCTGTCGAAGCTCTTGGTCATGCTGGATCTTCATGTGTATGGGTTGGCTGGGTTATGCGGCGCGTCGTAAGGACACCCATCTTTACGTCCAGATACTCCGCTTGACGATCGTTGTAGGGTCACAAACGTCGATCTCTTTGTTGGGGCAGACCTGAAACTCACACTACAAGCACTCGGATTGTGATCCTCCTCGGGTTGCACACCGTAATTGACATGTCGACCCTTTCCTTGCATCGGCCACCCTTCCACGTTGTTCTGTTGTATTCCTGTCGCCTTTCCGGCTTCTTTAGCGGTCTTTCCCTGGGTATTTACAATTCCTTTCCTCTCCTTATTTTCTATCTAAGACTGGTCATGTCTTGGCCTTCATCTTGGCTCATTCCACTCCCTTTCTATTCATTGAGGACTTTGCACACATTCTCTTCTATTTTCGACCCCTGGGGGACGTCATTTTGGCCTTTCTCTTTCAATCGTGACGTTGTATCCTAGCTATACGAAGAAGAATCAAATATTCGACCAAGTGTGAAGGAAACTTCAGAGGAACAAAGCAAAATCAACTCGACGTACATACCAAATCTGGTGCGAGGTGTGATAGAAACTGACTAGGAGTATGTCCGACATCCGTACGTGAGGGCACGAACGATTAGCGCTTGATGTCTCAGAGCTACAACCAAAAGTACGTGCCCAAGACCTTGCAGCCTCTGTATATGGGGAGAAGTAACGGAATTAAATTTACAGTGACTGCCGCTCGTGGAAACTCCATTTCAATGTCTGGGTGGAGAATGAAAGCTTTGAGGGGAACTGTCGCAGAAGTGCGAGTTCGACTGATTGTCTTCTCCAATGCTATCTCCATGATTGGACTTTCTAGTGACCTTGATTTCAGAGGGATTTCAGAGGCTTTATTCTAACATACTCCATTGTTCTGGTGGCCCTGTGATCTTGGTGCAGTGTAGTAGTTGGCAATGTACTGTAATAAACACGGAGACTCCTCGCACAGCGGACGCACATCCGTATTAAATCCCAGCCCCCATGGCTTCGAGTGCTGGTCATCTTGATCGTAGGAGGGAGCAAAGCTAACACCCGACACAAACATACAACAACTTAGAACAATAGCCCAGGTGTCACAGCCTGTCACGCGTGGAATCTCCCTATTATGTCAGCTCCATGTGAGACTTTCGGATATTTCCAGAGTCGCGTTAGGTTAATACCATGCGTCGTTCAGAGCGTCTGTCGTTCCCTAATGGCTCTCCCGCGACAATGGCGACTCCAACGACGGGAAGGCTAAATCGAACACCAGCTTCCACTCGACAGTCTATCTCCGCCAATGTACCCTTCGACTGGGATGCGGCGCGGAATAATTTGACCCCACCATATGGTACCCCGACCCGCGCTGGAGGCCCTGCTAGGAGACCACGGCCGTCGACTGTTGGAGTTGGAGGGGGCGTCGATGGGATCGCGTCTCCCGCTAAGAAGAAGAGGATAGTGCGGAAAGCGTCGTGGTATGAGTGGTAAGTGAGTCTCTCGCTCGATACTTTCGCGTGAATTGGCCTTGAGCTTAGCAACCCGTTTCAATCCCTGCGGCATGAAGGGCGACGTCATTTTACCACAATATTGTTTTCGAAATATCCCTCTTCCCATACAATGTACCACTGCCACATCCGACGACGTCAGGTCGTGCGATCGGTGGTGTGCTCCATGTGACGCATATGATGGTCAAATGGTATGGCCGATCACACGCCTTGGGAAATGACAATCATCCAGATGATATCTGGAAGAGTGAAGTCGACTGGCATCTTGCGGATGATGAGGTTGCCCCAGGTTCTATATGGGTAAGTAAACATGCTTTGACCAATCATGCACCCATGATAGAATCTGATTACTCCCTTTGTGGGTGTGGGTGACAGACTTCAGTTGTCATCGCATTTTTGCTAGCATTCTCAATCGTCAATGCATTATACCTATTCACGCGCATTCGCTCGTATCATCTACATTACAGAAACGTGCATATCATTTGCTTTGGTTGTACCTGTGACCTTCGCTAACTGTGCGCATACGCAATGATTGGATGGTTAGGAACTCGTCAACAGCACGCATGCTTCTCTGATCTCCAAAGATATATTGGATCCACCACCCCCACCAACAATATCCCAGCGGGCTCTCAAATTAGTTGCGCAATCATTCCGCACAGCATGGTTCGTGTCATATCTACTTCCAAGTGGCACTAATCTGATGGTATCATGGTCACTTCAGGCGCCTGGTATTTGGAACATCGCCGAGGCCCGAGGATCTCATCCCCATTGACCTGCAACCGGGATCGAATAAAGTGCAGCAGCTCGACCTTTGGAACCCTGGCGATCTTGAGACGGCTCTGTTTATGCATGTCTCCTTTCTGTCTTCCCTTGAATGAAATTTACAATCTCTCATTTGAATCCATTAGTATCTACTCGCCGGCGCATTTCCTAGCGTGGAAGATTTTCTCCGCTGAGAATTGGTTCTATTCGTTCTTCTCTATGGGGCTCATCTCACTGCAGGTATGGCTACCCTGGCTTCACTGCCTACTATGCTAACATACTCTACAACACCCTAGATGTATACTCTCGTCTTCGCTTATACCGCTCTTATCAAGGACAAGGCGATCCTTTCCGCTGAGGTCCTCCACGAATACGACGCCAAGGTAGGGTGATCCTTGCTATTCCCATCCCCCCGATGCTCGTGCACTTGCTGATTACATTGTGACACGCGATCTTAAATTCAACTTTTTCAACCAGTTCGTCACGCCTCGCTTGCATCCCATCAAGAAGGACAAATCCGTTATGACGCACGAGGCAGTGATGGTGGATGATTGGAGACGATATTGACGTGATCAGTAGGGACAGTGCTTCCGCTTCATACAATACCATGATGTGACTTTGTCGGCTCTCCACACCCCGTGCTAACGTGAGGATCATTGGTGCTGGACTATTTTTTCCCCCTCATTATCACCATCAGCCGTCCGGTGTCACTCTTCCCAAATACTTTTCAGTTCCTGAGGTCGAAGTAGTACATGAAACTCTAGCCTAGAGATGCCCTCGAAATTCGTTTTATTGGTAACTTTTGCGGCCTTTTCTGCATGAAATCATTCATTGGCGTTGGTCGTACTGAGGGAGAGCATGATTGATTGCCTATAATATTTAATCCAAAGTGGATGATTTTATCGATTGGGTGTAGTATATTGTATGTAGTAAAATATGCAGTTCTGAAGTACTAAACCCAACGGCGGAGCGGGTGGCCTTGAGCAAAACAATCGCGACGATGATGATGGGCAGACAGTATCAATAGACGTATGGAATGAACCTCCACTTCACGATCCCACAGTATTCAACCCAGTCGTCACCATATTTCGCCGCACATCTAGATATACGGAGAGGGAAAAAACAATGCGCGTCAGCA